CCATGAAGCAGTCACTTCCCGTTCCCCTCTCCCCCAACCCCTGGCAACCACTAATCTGTTTTCTGTCTCTATGGATTTACCGATTTTGTGTATCTCATACAGACAGAATCATACAATATATGTTCTGTTGTGACTGGCTTCTTACCCTAAGAATAATGCTCTCTAGGTTCATCCAGGTCATAGCACGTATCAGTAGGTCATTCCTTTTATGGCTGAACAATATTCCGTTTTTGGATCTATCACATTTGTTTGTGTGGACGGAGATTTTATTTTATTTTTTTTTTTAATTTTTATTTCCTAGGTAATGGGGGAACAGGTGGTGTTTGGTTACATGAGTAAGTTCTTCAGTGGTGTTTTGTGAGATTTTGGTGTACTCATCACCAAAGCAGTATACAGTGCACTCAATTTGTAGTCTCGTATCTGTCACCCTTTTCCCATCCTTTCTGCCTGAGTCCCCAGGGTCCATCGTGTCATTTTTATGCCTTTGCATCCTCATAGCCTAGCTCCCACTTATGAGTGAGAACATATGATGTTTGGTTTTCCATTCCAGAGTTACTTCACTTAGAATAATGGTTTCCAATCTCATCCAGGTTGCTGCAAATGCCATTATGTTGTTCCTTTTATGGCTGAGTAGTATTCCACCATATATATATATGTAAACACACATACCACAGTTCCTTTGTCTGCTCATTGATTGATGGCCATTTGGGTTGGTTTATGTGCATGGAGATTTTAAAGGAGCAATTCCAAGATTCCTCCCAGTCTATTGCCACAAAGATAGTGCTGCAGTCATAAAGGCAGAGGTCTGAGAAACCTCATCCTGCTCTGATGAATAGAAATCCAGAGAGGAAACCTGCTGTAAGAGAATGCCCTAGCTAGGGTCAAGGCCAAAAACTCAAATGCCCACATCAAGGAGTGGGAAGGGCTGGGAGTCCGAAACTTGGGAGGGTCACTGGTGACCTGCAGTATTTAAAAACCTTCAGACTCAGACTGTTTAAAATCATAGCGCTCACCAAACAGAACCTTCCAATGGACCACTTTCAGCCACTGTGCTTGTAACCTCTAAAATGCCAACGTTCGAGAAGACTGTGATACCAGCTCCAGCTTTGGCATTAAAAAACAAAAAGCACTGGCCAGCCACGGTGGGTCACGCCTGTAATCCCAGCACTTTGGGAGGCTGAGACAGGCAGATCCCCTGAGGTTGGGAATTCGAAACCAGTCTGACCCACATGGAGAAACCTCGTCTCTATTAAAAATACAAAATTAGCTGGGTGTGGTGGTGCATGTCTGTAATTATAACTATTCGGTAATTGGAGGCAGGAGAATTGCTTGAACCCGGGAGGTGGAGGTTGCAGTGAGCCAAGATCACACTGAGTGGAGATCGTGCCATTGCACTCCAGCCTGGGTAACAAGAGTGAAACTTCGTCTCAAAAAAAAAGAAAGAAAAACAGAAAGCACTGGCCTCCCCAGTATTACATCAGCCCCAAATGTTACAGGTGTGGTGTATGCTATAACCAGTCAGAGAGATAAGACTGACTGCTGACTCTGCTAGGATTAAAAATGGCCTTAATACCTGGCTGAGAGGTAGTTTTAGAGATTCACATCTCTGTCTCTGAGTCAGCTGATACAGAAATAGCTAATCCTTCACTTCCGTAACCTTCATAGTAGGTTTTAACTGCAGAGCCTGGAAGTGTGGGTGACAATCTCAGATGACAGGAGAATGTGACTCATGGAACCAAGGGTTGAACAAGCAGAAAATGTTGTACTCTTAACAAAAAGTTAGAGTTCTGTCTTGTAAAATTGGTTTCTTTGTCACGTAACATTCCAAGTTAGAGTGTTATCTGGTATTTAGCCCTGTGGTTCTCAAATTAGGAGTCATAAAATCACCTCTGGGGAGCTTGTTAAATCACAGATTCCCAGGACCCACCTCCAGGAGTTGGCATCAGTGGCTTCTGCAGGGGGCCCAGGAATCTGAATTTTACAAGGCCTGCAAGACAGGTGGTCCACAGGTCACAGTTTGACACACCCCAATATAATGAATATGCTTGTAGACTCAGTCTGGAGTGCTTCGCTGTCTTCCCAGAGTCCAGACTGTACTACGTGTTCAAATCTCTGAGCCCAGCTTAGAGAAGCCAACTGCCTAAGGTAGAATGCCATGTTTCTTTTGTTTATTTATTCACTCAGTGAGTATTTATTGAGAATCTGGAGTCCCTGCAGATATATCTGTAGGTAAGACAGACATGAATCCCTCTCCTCATAGAATTTACATTCTTATCAGGATAAATGGATAGGGGCAAATAATTATCTTCTCTGTACAGTAAAACCTGTTAAGATAGAAACAGAATCTCTAGGGATTTGGGGGACTGATGTTTAATCCCTTAGTGGAAGTACCGTGTGCTGAGTCTCCTTCCTGATATCCTTGCTGAGCATTTATGTGTTCGATGTGTACTTAAACACTGCTAGGAACAAGGGGCTCACTGTCAGTTGAATACGGCCATTCAGTTCTTAGGTGTTCAATGTTCCTTCCCTGAACCTTCTGCCCCTTAGTCCTAGCTCTACTTTATAAGACTTGCAAAACAAACGAATGCCTCCTCCTACAGAGAGTCATTAAAACCTTCAAAACCAGTTTTCACCATTCTGTTCAGTCTCTTCTTCAGGTAAAGACCCAGCCTTAGGACTGCATTTGAGTCCCCTTCCTAAGATGGTCACCATCCTCCTGTGGGTGCATTTACCTAGCATCTTTTTGAAAAAAGAAAAAAAAAAAAAAAAAGGTAGGGTCTAATGAGTCATTCACATACATTTCTTTATTAAACACACATGGGCCAGGCACTGTTTTTGGCTCTGGGGATAAAATCCACGGAAGAGAATAACCATCTTCTTTACCATGATGTTGTCTTTTTGCTAATGTCACATGATTGAGCTATTGGCCAAGGAAATAAGCTCAGAAGACCATAATTTCACAGTGGTCTTCATGAACAAATCATCTTTTCTTGCATTCTTTATCTAAGTTTATTGCTAGCTACCAACTAACTTTTTTTTAGCCTTTTATTTACATGTAGACTACTGCCAACTCCCAAATTCTGATTTTTTTCATTTCTAATTTTTTTCTTGTTTGATTTTCCCCTCCTCGATTCTTATGTAAATATGTTTTTCTCTATGCAGAGGGCTAAAGCTAATGACCATTTTTGGCTCAGTTTTATTTCAGAAGGATATGCCAATGTCATGGAGTTAGAAAGCAAAAGAGACCCTCTAGTCTGACCCCCTCACTTGACACAATATTTCCCCCCATGAGGACTTCTGCCCTCTTGATCTTTCCTATGCCTCTGTATCTTAAGCTCATGACCTCCTCAGACCTCTGAGTCCATCTCATCCATTTCCTACAACGACCTGTAACATGTGTTTCCTGCCAGAGCCACAGTCATAAACAATTCCTGGTAGATTCAGGAGCAACTCAGAGAGGAACTGGAAATGCTCTCTCTAATAACTCCCTAAAGTAAGGATCCCCGCACACAGCTTGATAGTGGACACACCCTGTGATTACTGAATCAAGCCACAGACTCAGGAGTCCCTCTACTGGGCTCTGAGAACCATTGCATTTTACTTTAGAAGGAATTAAACTCAGTTGAATAATTAGGAACACCCAAGAATGTCAGCAGACAAAACTCAAAGATTCCCATTCCAAAAAAAAAAAAACAAAACGGCCCATAGAATTAGAATCCTATGAAAATAACCTTCAAGAGCATCCAAATCCCACCTTATTGTTCTTCAGATGAGGAAACTGGGACCCAGAGAGAGGATGCATTAGGGACTGACCAAAAACAAAAAACACAAGCCTCCTCACTTCAGGCCTCTCTTCTCTTTTTCACTTGAATTATTGACCTTTCGCCACCATCTCATCCCTTAGCCAGTATTCCAGTCCTGGGGGTTCCAGGCAACAAAACATAATAGAAAATATATCCTAGAAACAAAGTCAGACAAACAAATGCCATCTGGGTGCTCAGGAATCCAGCCATTGCTGGCTCCTTTCCTTTTAGGGCTGGTTACAAGGGGAATGGCTCCAGAGGGATAATATGTTCCTATTTTTCCTTCTAATCCAGGACACCTGTCCCTTCTTTGGGGAATGTGTCAGTATTTGGGGCTGCTTCTCAACATGTGACCAGCCACCTGTTGCTCATGCCTTTCCAAATTGGCCTTTTGGGTTTGGGGTTGGCCAACTGGACCCCCACCCTCAATAAAATGTGGGCATTAGCAGTATAGTGAATTTGAAGAGTCTGGAGTCTCTGAGGAATTAGCAGGTCAAGGCAATGCTCTCAAGCGGAATATACACCATGACACCTCCTCCCCCTCAAATGTGATAGCTCTGGTAGACTGTCATAAGTCTTTAAGAGAAAAGAAGGCTGGAGTTCACCATGCTCTGTCATTCTTTTTTATCCACGCTGCCATTTATTCATTCAACAAATATTTATTGACCACCTGCTATGTGTCACTCACTACCAATCATCCACTCATCTTTTCACCCCACAAATGTGTACAGATTCTCTGCTAAGAAAAAAATCCCGTGCCGGGGACTGTGGGAGATGTAGCAATGAATAAAGCCCAGTCCCTGCCCAGAAGAAGCTGTTGGTTTAGTGGGAATGAAAAATCTGTAAGCTACTGTGCTTTAAGGCTGTTTGTGTAGAAAGAAAGACAAAGAACTATGGATCACAGAGGAGTGAGAAGTCACCCCCAACTGGCAGGTAAGAAAGTTTGCAAGAGGATGTCATGTGAGCCCTAGACCTTGAGGAATGGGTAGGATTTAGACACACAGCAAAAGGATAGGAGTGGTCGCAAAGATCTGAGAGGTTCCAGGAGGGAGCTGGAAAAGCCAAAGGGGCCCTTCTGGCAGATGTGTAAGGGACAAACGCTGACCACGAAGGAAATCAAGGTGAGGCCTGGGGAGAGACTCAGAATGCTGGCGGGTTTGAAAGGTCTGAGCCTTCTTTATTTTCCTGACCCCTTAGGTTCCGAGGTTTGGCACCCCATCTGCAAACAGGCAGCCCGGGCAGAGAAGAAGTTAAAGGTAAGCGAGCTAGTAGATCCCAGACCAGCACTCCTACTTCATTACTTTCTGCCGCAGGTTAAGAGAGCTGTGCTTTGGGACAGGGTCAGCATTCCTTAGTGTGCACGCTCCCAAATATGTGCCTATATCCTTGGATTTTCTTAATGGTAACACCTGCCCCATGGGGTTTTTGAGGGGGTTAAGGCACTGGATGTGAAAGCACTCTGAAACTGTAAAGCACTGTATTCATGTGAATTTTGTGTTTCTAGGGTAAGGCTGTAACTCTATCATTGCTGACCAAGAGGGTGGCCTCCCAGAGGAGCTCCCACCATGGCTTTTCCCAGCCTGAGGTCATTTGTGAATAGTAATAGCTAATGATGTCACAGTAATTGACAGTTTACAAAGCTTCTTCACAGCCACTGTCTGATTTTATTTCTTTAACCCCGTGAGGCAGATGGGCAAGAATTTTATCTTTGCCTTGCCTGTGAGAAAACCAGATCTAAAGAGGTGATGGTTTGCCTGCAGTAGCATGGCCAGGCAGAGGAGCACAGTCGACATCCTCGGGTACATGCTGGGCCAGCCGAGTTCCTGCGTCCCTCTGAATGACTGTGCTCTGACAAATGTCAGGGAGGCTTGTGAACCTGCGTTCTTGACACTGCAGAGAGGGGTTGAGCCTCCCCAGCTGCAGGGGGGATCCAGCTTCTGGGTCCTTGAAGCCGTGAGGGGACACCTGCGGTGTGTGTTGGGGTGTGGGGAATGGGGCCTTTACATCCTGGTCCCCTGATACTAAGTTGAGCCCTTGGGACTCTGTTATGCTACCTGCGAGGGTCTCCCCAGCTGGAAAAGGCAAGTGTACAACTTCTGACCGGCGGGTTAAGCATGTCTTCTTTGCTATCTCATCCACTTAATGAAAGTTTTCTGAAACGCCGGTTGGCTGATGCATAACTATTTTTTTGAGCCCTGAATTTCTTTTCCTGTTTCTTTCAAGACCTCTTGCATTTAAGATATAAGACCTACTTGTCCCTTTCTTCATTTTCCTCCTTTCGGGCGGCATTTCCCAAACTTCAGTCATCCTCTACAGCCCCGATGCCTGTTGCCATATCTGGGCACCACCTGTTTCATTATATACTTAATATTTTTCTTTAAATCAAGTCACTACTTTTTATTAACTAAACGTATTTTAAAATAAAAATTTATATCGCCGTGTGGAAACCAGTAATACTTGCTGTAAGTAGAAGGTAATGATAAAATAAATTCAATGATAATGAAATAGTTCTTAAGAATAAATCTTTTAAGTTCTAGCTAGACAATGTTGCCTGCACACTCTTGTTTAAAAAGGGGAATTGGGCTGGGCATGGTGGCTCACGCCTGTAATCCCAACACTTTGGGAGGCCAAGGCGGGCAGTTCACTTGAGGTCAGGAGTTCGAGACTAGCCTGACCAACATGGCAAAACCACATCTCTACTAAAAATACAAAAATTAGCTGGGCATGGTGGCCCATGCCTGTAATCCCAGCTACTCAGGAGGCCGAAGCAGGCGAATCACTTGAAACCGAGAGGTGGAGGTCGCAGTGAGCCGAGATTGTGCCACTGCACTCCAGCCCGGGCGACAGAGCGAGACTCTGTCTCAAAAATAAGATAAAAAATAAAATGAAATAGGAATTCAGCAATTGTTGAGAGAATTGTTGAAATGTGTTAGCACCAAATGGAGACTACCTCCTTGATCTAATCAAGGGGATTGAAAGATTTTACTTTCTAGCTCTATGATTCAGTATTATCAAATGTTCCACCTAAATTCTTCTTCCCAGAACCACCACTAGTTCACAATCCACAGTTTAGGAAACTTTATAGCCCCACTTAGAATGATTTAAATTGTAAAATGAGAAAACTGGGAGAGAATCAAGTGATCCTGAAGCTCGGCATCTTCATTTTACAATCAGGAATCCAGGATACCTAAGACCACACACTTCGCCCGTGGGTCCTTGATTCCCAATCCCTTTACATCATACAGGCACCCAACTATGCATTAAGACTGACATCATGCTGCTCTGCTAAGGAAGCTATTAATCCATCATGGCTATTGTTCAGAGACAGCTTTTTTTTTTTTAAGTTTATCACTTAAGTTGATGTCAGTTCATAATTAATACACTGTAAAGAGTCAGCATGTTGTACAATGACATGAAGTTTAACCCGCTTTCACATCTTGAATAAACAAACTCCCAAGGAATGAATGCTAACCTATTTTATTTTTTTAAGCAAATACATTGATGGGATAACTCAAAATGAAAAGTTTTATGAGTAATTTCCTATTTAGAGTGCTAGCTGCAAATACCTAGAAAATAAATCCATATCCCGCCCCGACAGCCCAAAGTCCTTGCATTTTAGGTCTCATTCACACTCAGACCTTGACTTAAAAAGCAGAGAATAAGGAGAAAGTACAGAAGTAGCCAGAGAGTACTTTAATGGCATTGCTAATGTTGCATTCTTAACCCCCTGTCTCACCCTCCCACCAAGCCGGGGTTGCAGCTTCTCACCTCTTCTGTCTTCATCTCTCCTGCAGCATAGACGGACGTCTGAAACCTCCATCTCACCACCTGGATCCAGCATTGGGTCACCTAACCGAGTCATCTGCGTATGTATCCCTCTTCTACCACCAAAGGGCCTTTCTTATTCCTGACCTGGTATCTAAAGAGGAGTCGCTAAGGATGAGGGAGCTGTCGGGTTTTCATCCAACTGACATTTGGTGCATGCTCTTCATGTGCTAGGCTCTGTACCAGGTCTTGAGGATTCAGTGCGGTACAGGGAGGACATAGATCCTGCCCTTATGAAGCACACAGTCTAGTAAACCCAGAGTTCCATGGCACACGAGAAAGAAAATGCAATGACAGCAAGAGCCCTTGTGACCAGCACAAGTCACCTCCTTTCCCACTACCTAACTGAGACAAGCAAGAAAAAACTGAGGGTCAAAGTGGTATTCTGAATAGGTATTGGGTGGATTATCGATGTGGAGATAGTGGTGTGTGAAAAAGAGACAGAAAGAAGTAAGCCATACACATGTGGAAACATGGTTGTAAATAATTTGCAAATGTAAAGAAGAGCTTTCTAATCATGTAGGAAGTCCAGGGATGGAGTAGACCCACCTTCACATGTCTGAGTTCCCACCTCTGCAGGCATTCAAACACAGAGAGACTCATCATTTGTGAGGGGTGTAGAAGGAAAGATAGAAGTTGAGTTAGATGGTCTCAGAGGCCCCTTGTATTTTCATTAATTCATTTCTTCATTCATTCAACAAACCTGTGCCAAGCATTTGCTCTGCGAACCACAGTGCTTTGCTCTGGAGAAATGGTGATGAACTACACAGACTTGTTGTCTGTCCTCATGACATTGAACACATAATGCCATGAATCATCAATTGCAGTTACAAATTCCAGAAAGGAGAAGCACAGGGTCTTCTGATGATGCTACAGATAAACAGAGGGATCTGACAATCTAAGACTGGTTGGGAGAAGGCATCCTAAGAAAGAAACATTAAACTCAAAGCAGAGGGATAAACAGAAATGAGCTAAAGGAGATGGGGAACGCAGAGCCAGGGAGAACTGAAACAAGCAACAAACCTCAATCTGATTGACTCTGGACTGTTCCTGCCTTCCACAAGCCAAAGGAGGCACGATGACCAGAAATGTGGGGGAAATGGTCTGTAACAAAAAACCCACTCCTAACAAGAAGCTCTAGATACAGTCACCAAACCAGCCACTCCTGGCCCTGACCACCATTGCTAGATCATTACTTCAAATCCACATCAAGGCTCCTCTCTGATCCCTGGATAATGCCCATTGACAGGACTATGTGCACCTTTCCTTTCTTCTCTGGTCAAATGGAAAAAAAAAAAAAAAAAAAAAAAACACACACACTCACTTAAGAGTTATAACTGACTGAAATTTCAACATGGGTCAATACTACCATGTGGCTGTCAAAAAAGGCAAGCTGCTTTGATCACAGGCTGTACTCATTGAAGATTCCCGTCTAAAGCAAGAGAGGTGATAGTCTCCCTGGCACTGTGAATGGGACCAGACCAAGGCAGGATTAATGGGCTTAGTTTCCAGGCGTGCACAGTGAGAATGTTATTGACAAATGTGAGCATGTTTCCAGAAGAGAGTTACTAGGACAGGAGACCTCAGGAAGCTGCTGCACTGTAATACTGTTCACCACGAGCCGGTCTCCCGGTGCTATGGAGGAGCCTTGTTAATCTTTGTGAAATAAGTTAAGCCCTGATGATGTCCACCTTGGAGTCCTAGAGAAAGTTTCCCAGAATTGCCCCTCTGAGAAGCAACTCCATTACAGCATGGAATTGATGATGGCAGCTGGGAACACCTGTGCTCGTGCCTTCCAACTAGGGGCTTACGCACTGAGATCAGTTGTCCCTCACATCCCAGCACTGGCCTGTGTCTCTCCCTTCCAGCCTCTCCTGCTCTCACCGTTTATGGTGCCTCATGCTCAGCTGCTGTGGGGAATGACTGAATATGTCATGGAAGCCATGTTTTCAGTCAGCCCATCCCAAGCATGGCTTCCAAATTTGGAGAAAAAAAAAAAAATCATTCACCTGATTCGGAGAGATGCAATAACAGGCATAAAGATGGATCTTAATTTGGTTTTCATTGATAATTGAGATTTTATATTCAAATAGAATTATCAGTGAACCTGAAATGAGCAGGTTCTTTCAAACTGTCAAACTTTACTCCGTCTCCACTGACTTCTAGAATCATCTTCAGGTGGTTTGGCTTTGACCCACGTGTTTTCTTCCTTCCTTCCTTCCTTCCTTCCTTCCTGGCTAATTATGTTAGGATGCCTCTGATCAATCGGTATGCCTCCAGACCTGAGGCTCCTTTATAGCCCTGTAAACAAAGTGGCTATAGGAAGAAATATAAATTTAGTATTTTTGAGGTTTGGGGTAAAGCGCCAAGATGAATAGTTACGGGTGGAGACGAGTTGGGAAGATGCCAAGAGCTCTCAAGGTCAAGATCTAACACCCAAGACAAAAGGCAACAATTACTTCGGCAGGTGAACTCTCAGCTAATAAAGGCTCCCTTTACCTACACACCCCCAGGAACTGGTGCAGATGTGGGCATCTGTGGCAGGCAGGCTCTGGCAGAAATCAGGTGGCCTACCTCAAAGAGTTCAACTGAGGAGGGTTTCATGATGGAGGTGTGGGCAGAGTTACGTGGACCCACAGGAGATAATGAGGTGTCCAGGGACTATAGCAGCATGACGTTACCACGCTGGACCTAAAGAGACAAGGGAAGGGAACAGCATTACCAAAGCTGGCAAGAGCTGGGGAAGCCCAGCCTCCCGATAGAGTTGGGCCCAGCCCACAGCCAGACAAGAAGGTTGCCAGGGGAATAAATACGCCAGCCTCTCTCTCCATTCGCCCTCTAGTCTCTGCTGGTGCATCCCATTGGCTAAACCCAACTGAAAGCCAGAGAGAAAGGCCTTGGTAGGTTTTCTAAATAGCACAGCTTATAATGTATTTACGAATGCCGCTGCCTGTAAAGTAGTCTTGGCCCTCAGACTGTACCTGGCTCCAATGGCATTGGGAGAACATTACCGGACTAATATAGTCTCTGGATTCTCCATCTAGCAGCCTCTGTCATAATTTACAGTACGTCAGGATCTTGCAAGACAGATCCTGGTTGATCATAGCCAACACCATGTCACAGAGGGAACAGCTGGAGGACATGGTCATAGAAAGGACATGGCTTCAGAAGCCATGAGACATGGGCTGTCACATGCAAGGGGACGCTATATTTCAACCTGTGCAGCTCTAGAGAGCTGAATGCTGCCAAAGTCAAGCAGAAGGTAGAGGCTCATTTTAGTTCAATGGAAGGAGCAGCTTTCTGAGGGTAGACTTCTGGTGGTGTAAGACAGCGAACTCCCTGTCCCAAGAAGACAGGAGAGGCTGCTGAAGAGGGCACGCTCTCTGTTTTGAAATTTGCATTCTTGCACCTTATTAGCTATGTAGCCTTGGGCAAGTTAATTGATTTTTCTGTGCCTCTGGTTGCTTATTCAAAATGACGATAATATTAGTGCCTACTACTAGAGTTGTGAGTTAATCTATAAAGGGACTTGGTACAGAGCCTGGCTTATAATAAGTGCTCACCAAATGTTAGCTAGTGTTATACTATCATGATTATTTTTGTCTTTATGATCTGCATCTTCTTCTTCAAGGATGCTGTGAACTGGGATTTCCTCACTCTGTGGGACTGAAAGGCAGTCAGCACCCAGGCTGTGTAGTTCAGGCTGCATTCAAACTTATTAACTTAGTGGTGCAAATTTTATTACCTTTTCAGCCTCCGTTTCCTCAACTGGAAAATAGAAATGATAGCATTACAACATCTAGAGGAGATAATTCTTGCAAAGCACAGGGCCTCACAAACAATACGTGCTCAGTAAATGTTAGCCCTGTTGGAACGGATGACCTCTAAGACCACTCTCATTCTAACATTCCACTGTTCTTCAGTTGGATCCTAATCTTCTGTTTTTAGTGGAAACTGGAGACGCTCGTTCCTTCTACATCTTGTTTTTGTTTCCTCTCTCCATTCCCTTTTCCCTCTTATCTTTCTATTCCTTTCCTGTCGGTTTCCCTCTTCCCTAGGCTAAAGTGGATAATGAGATCCTTAATTACAAAGACCTGGCGGCTCTCCCCAAGGTTAAGTCCATCTACGAGGTACAACGCCCCGACCTCATTTCCTATGAGCCTCATTCCAGATACACGTCCGACGAGATGCTGGAGAGATGTGGCTATGGAGAGGTATCGCATCTTGCCCTTCTCTCTGGGGCTGTTGTAGGAAAGGAGGTTCCACCGGGGTCCCCAGCCCTCTCCATCACAGACTATTTATCCTCCACAGTGCTGGCTCCCAGACTCTTCTAAACGGGGATTTAAGACCAGTATTTTTAAAATGAAGAGATTTCATCCCAAAATTTGGCTTTCTGGCTTCTTTTGAAAAATCAGAGCTGACAACATTAAACCTATATTTCCACCATCTGGAGATGGGTAGCAGCACCCTCTATAGACAGGACATGAGCTTCCCATTCTCCCCAGCGGCCCCACTCCCTGTTAATCCCAGCATTGAAGCTGAGAGCCTGTGACCATTTATCACTCAAGTTGTTGTATTTCTTGTCCTGTAGGAATTTTTCATGTACTCAGCCCAAGGCGCTCATCTCCTGCCAGGCTCAATGGCCATTTAGGTTTATAATCCCTGATTCGGCATGTTCTCTGGTTTTCTCACCTGGCCTTTAGTCCCTGTGTCTCTTCCCTCGAAGAGACACTTTTATGAAGACTCGGTTAACAAATGGCTTTTGAAATAATTAAAGGGTTGCTAAATAAGAGAAAGTGTTCTCTGAAGATGGCAGGGGGGTGGAGGGCAGAATTACTCTGGAGGTCCTGCCAGTCTATATCCTAGAAGATTTCTATCCTTATCACATGCCCCTTGAGTTAATTTGGGGCAGCAGAAGTCTGTCCTGGTGGGCAGGGAGCCAGGTTCTTGTCCCAGCTCCACCATAACTAGCCCTGTGACCTCAGGCAAGTCCCCTTCCTCTCTAAGGGATTTAGGTTCCATTTGGTTGAGGAGCCCAATGCTGAGATTCTCTGGTTTCTGGTCTTTAGATTCTCAAGTGTTTAGTAGAAGTCACTTACCCTTCAGTTAGAGATGGCAAACCAGGACCCACCACAAGTTGCAGCCAGCCCTCAGATTTTTGTTTCACTCACAAAGTGCCTTTTGAGAAGGAAAACTCGTTGTCAACATGTAAACACTGGGAGATTTCACATAAGAATCTGCATTTCTGACTTCCTTGGAAAATTAAGATGCTGTGTCAATGCTGGGCAGGCATTCCAGCCGCCGGAGCTGAGGAGCCACTGCCTTCTTCAGTGGAGACATCCTATCTCCAGCTGCTGCACCAGCCACCAGCTCAACTCCCTCATTGACGGCAGCAGCCTGACCCCTGCTTAGCCGTATATTTGGGTGCCCTGTGCTGGGCATTGCCCTCATGAACTGCAGAGGGGTCATGAACCAGTAGAGAGACAGGGAAGTGTGCTGACAATAGCCCTGAGTGTGCTGGTAGAGAAGCCTGGGTCCAAGTCAAGTCCCTGCCACTTCTGCCCTGAGCGGCCCTGAGCCGTCGCATTCCCTCTCTGGGCGTTGGTTTTTCCCTTCCTAAAAGGCGGGCATAATCTTGAGGTTTTCTGCCTTCCTATCAGCAGTCTGACCCTCTGGAGTTCCCAGCGAGACTGTTATCTGGGGAGGGGTACCAAGGGGATATGCAGCAGGCTCTTTGCGGAGACGTCTAACCATGCTCTGTCCTTTCTTTCCTGCTCCTCTCATTCCCTCTGCTGGTTCCACAACTGCCTTTAAACTCTTCACTTCTAAGTCGCTGGGAACATTATCTCCCTACTCCCAGGTAATTCAGATGATAGAGAATTAAGCTGATATAAAATTGTGCTCCTTTATGCTGACTTCACCCATCCCCAGCCACCCCCAAGTTGTATGAGCCCTTGCGCAAGGTGCTCCCCGCAAGCAGGGGAGCACTGGAGAGACTCGGGTGCATGTCGCAGAGGAAGTGGCAGTGTGTAAAGGATGGAAATATGCCCTTCCTGCCCAGAGATGGCCTCCCTCAGGCTCCTGGGATCCCTGGTCAGGATTCCAGGGATTGACCCATGGATTCCATTCAAGGGCCTGCAAGTGATAGGGGAAAGCCCTGGAAATTCCCTGCCGTCTTCCTCGGGCTGTGTGGGTAACTCAGGAAGAGGGGTTGCTGTATTCATGCCTCAACCCCTGGAATCCCAGATACCATGTCATGCCCACCCGCCTGCTAGACCCTCGGGCCACAGGCCGACTTAACGGCCAGCCTTGCTCACAGCCCCATTTCCTCCCTCAGGACATCTACGAGAACCTGGATCTCCGGCAGAGACGGGCCTCCAGCCCGGGATACATAGACTCCCCCACCTACAACCGGCAGGGCATGTCCCCCACCTTCTCCCGCTCACCTCACCACTACTACCGCTCTGGTAAGGAAGTGGGAAGCCCTGAAGGGAGAGGAAGAGGCGGCGAGACAAGGCAGTGACTTGGGTCCCTGCTGCAGAGAGCACAAGGCTCCCCCAAGATCTCTGTCACAGTGTAGCCCTCTAGAGATCTCTGGCCACCCAGGTGACCAGCTGGGCCTCTCTGAGTCCCTCAGATGGCAGAGGGATGGAGGAGGGTGTGGTACTGAGAAGCAGCAGGTGGGTGGTGAGCTTCCAGGAGAGGGGGCTGGCAGGTGGCCCTGTGGCCCTGGCTAGAAGAAGACTCCACCATCCTCATGCCCTGCCCCATCCAGAGGGCACAACCCAGAGACCCGAAATGTGGATATGGACTGGCCTTCACCTGAGGGCCAATCCAGTCAGGCCATCCACACTCGCCTGAGGTTGGGGGTGAAGCCAGCACTTGGATGGAGGAGCAATTAAGAGAGGGTCTGGAACGGGGAGGTTCAGGGATGGTTAAGAGGGACAGACTAAGATGTCTTCCTGGAGCTGGGTGGAGTTGATCTTTACACCTCACAAAACCTGACTTTGGGACCAAGCCAGGAAGCAAAGTCAAGCTTGTTTCTGCCGACGTGGTGCATGAGAGCACATGCTGCTTCCGCCCCGGAGCCTGAGCACGCTGGGACACCCCAGCCCATCCCATCCCTGCTGTCATCACCTCACCGCTTCCTTAACTGCCACTGCGTTAATGCCTGTTTTCTCTGTGCCTCTGTTTTCTCTGGGGACCACTGCCTGCGTGCTCCAGGGCCCGAGAGTGGCCGGAGCTCTCCATACCATAGCCAATTAGATGTGAGGTCCTCCTACTCCAACCTCTTACCAGGCTCCCAAGCACTTTCACATCCCAGGTAGGCACTGCCAGCCCGGATTCCTGGGACTGGATGCATGCTCCATGGGGTGACGGGTGCCTGAGTCGCCCACTCCATGCCACACAGGCACCAAGAAGCTGGTTCCTGAGGGACCCTCCCTAACCAATCACCTGCACCAACCCTGTCCTCCAGCCCCAACACAAGCCACGGGCTTCAGTTCATCCACTTGACAGAACCAATCTCCATTAGGACCTCAAAGAAGCAGTCCACGGGAGAAAAGACGCAGGGAGCTCGAGTGAGATGTCTTGAATGTCTGAGGGCTGTGAGGGGCGCAGGGGGAGCACACAGCAGTGAAGGCCACAGGCTTTAGCTTCAAAGCCCTTGGGATGGAATCTGCCGCTGCCGCTTATAAGCTCATGACTGTGGGCCAGTGACTTGGCTTCCCAAGCTTCTGTTATTCCTTCTGCACAGTCAAGCACTGTTCTGGGCCCAGAGGTTACAGCTGTGCTCAACCCAGCAGATCCTGCCTTCGTGGTATTTGGTATTTATGTACTAATGCAGGGAGAGAGATCATAAAAGAGTAAACAAATACCTAGAGGATAATTTCAGGTAATGATAGGTGCCATAAACGTAAATGAAACAGGCCATCCTGAGAGATGACAGGTCTGAGAGAGGCCAGGCTAGATGGGGCAGTCAGGAGCAGCTTCCTGGAGGAGGTAACATTAAAGCTGAAAGATGAGAAGGAGCCAGCTTGTGAAGAAGCCAAGGAAAGACATCCCAGGCAGAGGGAACAGCACTATAGTGTCATGCGACTGCAGGTCGCGATAGGAACTGAGTGGAAGACGGGCTAGATGACGGAGTAGGTGTGGTTTGGACAGGGTCTCCCTCTGAGTCACAGCAGAGCCAGTCCTGGACCCCAGTCTCGTGACACCAAGCTCCGTTTTTCACTCCTCACTCACTCTCCCCTCAAGAGCTCATGCTGCTGTTTCATCTACACCTTCCTCAGCTGCCCTAGACGGGTCCCATCCTGTCTTTGAGGGAGGGGGAGGGGGACAAGCTAAAATTCGGCTGCAGCATCCTGGGGATTTTCACATGGTATGAGGTGTGGCCACTGGTGGAGGCAGTGGACACCTTCCTGCATGGGGTTCTGCTGAGCACACACACCCCTGTGACTGCATGCTCGCCCTTCAAGCCCCGGGTCCCTTCCTCAGCACCACTCGGATCCATCCATTCCTCTCCCCGCACCTTACTTGGAACCTGTTGAGACGAGGTTGGAAGTTCAACGTTGGAAGAGAAAGTCACCAGGGGAAAGATAGTGGCCCCTTGGAAAGATTTGTTGCCTAGCTCTCTCTTCCGAGATCAAGTGACCAAGTACTGTCTCCTTTTCTCCTGTCTCTCTCTCTCCCCCTCCCCACTGTCCCTTCCTGGTCTGTCTGGCAGCTGGAGACAGTAACATCTACCGGAAACCCCCAATCTACAAACGGCATGGTATGATCAGAAGCAGATAGGGCTTGGCCACACAAGGAGAGGGGGAAGGGGAACCATCTATGCAGACAGCCCTGCACAGGCCGCCAGGAGCCACAAAACGCAGCAGGGCTGCATCTTGGTCTTTCTGGTCGACTGCCCCATTACACAGGCTGACATTGAGGAGGAGTTTGGTGTCATTTCAAAAGAACAAACGCCTCATGTCCCCTCCATTCTTTCCCACCACCTTTTCAATCTCTCCCTTACCTGCTCTCTGGCATCCGAAGTTCCATGGTTGGTAAAATCTTTGTAAAATGCACATACCCCGGGAGAGTCACACACCAAGGTGCTAATATTCAAAATATTCATTAGAATAACACGGGATGCATACAGATTCCTGGGCCGCACCCCAGACTTACTGAATTCGAATTTTGTATTTGTAACAGTTTCTCCAAGTGATTCTGAGGCTCAGCCCAGCTTGAGAGCCCCTGCTCTAAGTTGTTCTCAGTCACAGTCTCCTGAGAGTGGATGGAGACTTGCAGAGATGTAGATGAGTAAGGAGCAGAGGGTCACTTCCTTTTTTCATCCATTCATTGATTTAGTGTATCTCAAAAAAGGATCTATGGACCATCTGCACCTGAGAGACATTTAAAAGGCGGCTTTCCTGGCCCCTTCCTTGCCCCAGATTCCCTTAGTTATGAATATGGAGAGTGAGGACTAAGAATCTGCACTATAACTGGCTTTGTTCATGATTCCTACCTGCACTTAGTATGAGAACCACCAAGTCATTCATCACTCACACCACTTGTTCATTTTTGTGCAAAGCACTTACTAAGCCTTGATTGAGCAAGCACATCCCTTCCATTGAAGCTGCAGAAGAGGAGCCGCCACCCTGGGCACCCTCACTTGCTTAAGGGTCTAGCTGGATAACCAAGGGAAGCCCAGAATCGGTGGCGCTTGGAGATGAGTGAGGCAGTCCTGCACCAGGTTCTGAACCACTTCGCTGGTGGAGGGGGCAGTACATGTTTAAATAGTGGCTCTGGGTGCCTAAGATTCTACAGTTTAGACAGACAGCCTTGGTTCCAGAGGAGGCTGAGCAGGGAGTCCAAGGTGAGTCTCTGAGCATGTGCACATATCTACCAGCCCATGAAGGACACACTATGTCCCCTGAGTAGCCATAGAAAGGCACAAACCTGACAAAAGTAGTTTGGCTCTCTACCTAGAAAAGGCCCCCAGATCGCAAGCTTCTCAAGAGTTCATGGGATTTTCCAGGTGGGCTCTGAGGGGTGGCACTAAAGCAGATTCAAGGGAAGTCTGGGGTGGAGGTGGGTTGGGCTTGGAAAAGAGGGCAGAGGAAAAAGCTAAATGCAATCAGCCAGGAGGCGCTTCCCAGGAGCCAGGTCAAAGAGAATTTGAAAGCTTTGGAAGCAAGTGCTGTTGTGGGGTTGCATAGCCTGGGGCTAGCTGAAGCTGATCCCCCCACCCACTGCCACTCTGGCTCCGTAGAGCATAGAGCTTATCCCTAAAGCTTCCTGTAGCTGACCATGGGAAATGGTCATGTAGCCACACACATTTCCCCAGCGCCCCCCGCTCTGCCCTACCAGACTGTCACCCACGTTTGGGCCACTAGAAGTCACTGCTCTGTAAGTAGTTGTGACCACAGTGGGTCTTGCTGGTCACCCTGTCCTGGGCTTACTTCAGGTGGAAGCTTAAAGCTGGATGGCACCTGAGCCAGCAGACCAATCCTGACAGTTGCAGATGAGGAAAGTGAGGCAGAGATGTTAGGACCTGCCCAGTGTTACAACTGAGTAAAGTGGCAGAGCTGGGACCAGAACCCAGCTTTGCTGAGTCCCTGTCTAGCACTCCCTCTCTCAGGCCATGTAGTCCCTGAACAGAATGTGGCATCTCAGGTTGTGAGATATTATGGAGTTCAAATTCATAACAAGGCAGGCTTCTAAAGGGCCGGGAAGGTAAGGGCTGGGGCTCACCTGGGGCCTGTCGAGGAGCTTAATTGAGGAACTACACCCTTAAAGGTCACTCTGGAACAGACCTGGGAATCCATGGAATGTGCTGGAGAGATCCCTGGGCTCGGTTCTGATCCAGTTCTGGTGCTCACATGCCGTGTGGTCTTCGGCAAGCCCCTTCCCCTCTCTAGTGCTCTGATTACTAAATACAAAGTGAGGGTTTGGCCCCAGCGTTTTTCCAGCTCCGGTGCTCCAGGTCGCATCCTAACAGAGAGCCCTGACCTTGAAGTGGCCTCACTCCCCTGGTCTAGAGCCTGATATAGATAGGAAAAGGGTACACAGTCCCAGCCAGGGCATTCTGCCTTCCTGAAGTACTCTCCCTGGGTCCTTTGCAGGTGATTTGTCTACAGCAACCAAGAGCAAAACAAGTGAAGACATCAGCCAGGCCTCCAAGTACAGTCCCGCCTACTCGCCAGATCCCTACTATGCTTCGGAGTCTGAGTACTGGACCTACCATGGGTCCCCCAAAGGTAGCACCCCCATAGGAGCCTGGGGCCAGGACCCTATCACCTATGCCAAGGACACAGGTGTTCAGAACAGTTGCCCACTCCTTTATACAATCATTCTGAATCAGAGTGCTTAGAGGGTTTGTAACTGAGGGTGTTTATTCATTCAACAAATCTGTATTAAACGCTGGCCATGGACCCTCGCAATACACTGGGGAGCAAAGCCGACCAGGTGCCTGCCCTTGTGGAGAAGGCGCGGGTCCCAGCCATGAGACAGAGGTGATGCATAGAAGGTAGGAAAGCTGATGGCAGGAGCCTGCTGTCCAGCCTGAAGATGACAAAAGCTTCTCGGATGCAGCCACTCAGCTGCCAGCGGGAGGGTGGCAAGGACGTAACACAGCAGAGAGTGTCGCAATACCTCTGCAAAGACCCAAGATGTGAGGGAGGTTCCATCGGAGGAAAGGCAAGGCTACCCACTTAAACTTTGAACTCAGAGAGGAAGAGAAGCATAGGGGTGAGGGAGGAGGTCCCCTGGGGTTTTGTGGACCAAGGTAAGGATTTTGGTTTTATCCTAAGCAGTGAGTGGCATGATCATATTTGTGCTTTTGAGAGAACACTTTGGCTGTAGGGTAAAAAATGGTTTGGAGGATAGAGAAAGAGAGGATGTGGGAAGATGGAAGGCCCCTGTAGGTACCCTGGTAAGGGGTCTTAGTGGTCCTCACATTCCACCTTACCCAATCAGACAATCCAAGCTGTTCCTCTCAAGTATGGGGGGATATTTTCAAGATCCACTCTGATTCACTGTCTTTACTAATTGAATGGCCATTCTGAGCAAAGCTTCATGGAAGCTCAGAGATGACTCTTTGGGGATGGGTACAGTGGCTCATGCCCATAATCCCAGCACTTTGGGAGACCAAGGTAGGAAGATCTCTTGAGCCTGGGAAATTGAGAGCAGCCTAGATGACATAGCTAGACTTTGTCTCTACAAAAAAAAATTTTTAATTCTTTGGGCATAATGGTGTACTCCTGTAGTCCCAGGAGCCATGGGAGGATGAGGCCGGAGGATCCCTTGAGCCCAGGGGCTTGAGGCTGCAATGAGCCACGATCACACCACTGCACTCTAGCCTGGGTGACAGAGTGAGCCCCTGTGTCACAAATTTAAAAATTTAATGAAAAGATGACTCTGCTGTTACACTTGAAGAAGTCTTTATTTAGAAAAGGAGATAAGACGCAAATACAACTATAACCAAGTGGGCAGTGATCTGTCCCCACGGGAGATGAGTGTTCAGAGGCCACAAAGGCAGCAGAGACCACTTTCAGCTGATGTGGAGGTTAGCTTAGACGAGACTGTTTCCACTGAAAAATAAGATTAAAAACAATGAAAAGTGGCTTTTCTTTAAAAAAAAAAAAAAATGCCTTAAGCCAGGCTGAGTGGGGCGCACATCCTGGAGCTGGTCTTATCTGTCTTTTGACAGTGCCCCGAGCCAGAAGGTTCTCATCTGGAGAGGAGGATGATTTTGACCGCAGCATGCACAAGGTGAGCAGACCACACCACTGAATAAGATGTTTCTATCACTGAGGATCACATCTGCAAGTGACAGCAAACAAATTCAAGCCCGCTATGATAGAAAAAAGAAATGCATAGCTTTTTGCATAACTGAAAAATCAAATGGTAGAATTAGCTTAAAGTACGACTAGATCCAACTGCTCAAAAACAGCCATGGGAAATTTGTCTCTTCTCTTGTGGGGCTTGCCTCTGCACTGGCTTCATGCTCAGGCAAGCTATTTTCACATAATAGTAAGCAGATGCTTGCAACCCTTGTTCATGGCTGGTGAAACCCTTGTTCCAGCCCCTGTGGAAAACAATTTCATGGTTCCTCAAAAGTTAAACATAAATTGCCATATGATCCAGCAATTCCACTCCTACATATATGCCCAGAAGGATTGAAAACAGGACTTAAACAAATACGTATGCACCCATATTCATGGCAGCACTATTCACAGCAGCTAAAATATGGAAACAATACAGATGTCCACCAGCTCATGAACAGATAAACAAAATGTGGTATGTCCATACAGTGGAATATTATTCAGCCATAAAAAGAAATGAAGTAATGATATGTGTCACAATGTGGATGAACCTTGAAAACATTATGCTTCATAAAAGAGGTCAGACACAAGGTCACGTATTATGTGATTACATTTCCATGAAATATGCAGAATAGGCAAATCCAGAGAGACAGAACATAGATTGGTGGTTACCAGGGTTGGGGAGAGTGGAATGGGGGAGTGACTGCTTCATGGGCATAGGATCTCCTTTGGGGGTAACAATGGTGTTTCCAAACGAGAGAGAGGTGGTGGTTGCACAACATCGTGAATACACTCAATGCCACTGAATTGTTTCCTTTAAAATGGTTAATGTGAAGTCATGTGATTTTCACCTCAGTTAAAGAGAAAGAGATGGCTATCTGCCCATGGTTGAATCAATCGCTGTGTCAGGACAATGGGATCCTGTCACTGGCCAGGACTGCTCTTTTGTGCCCACCACCAGACCCCCATCCAGACCACAGGACAACTTGTGGAAGGCCAGATGAGGTTCCAATGGGACATACGGGTGCCACAAGGAGGGAGGGACTCTGGGAAGGCAAACGTGATAGCAGGCTGCTGTAGAGGATGCGAGCCTCGGCCTTGCCCAAGCCCATTCCGTCTCAGTGTCCTTTGTTTTCCTTCTAACTTCATCTTGCTCTTCCCCCACCCTCAGCTCCAGAGTGGAATTGGCCGGCTGATTCTGAAGGAAGAGATGAAGGCCCGGTCGAGCTCCTATGCAGACCCCTGGACCCCTCCCCGGAGCTCCACCAGCAGCCGGGAGGCCCTGCACACATCTGGCTATGAGATGTCCCTCAATGGCTGTAAGCACTGCTCTGGAAGCCCAGTGGGGCGGGGACGCCCCTGACTGCCAGTGTCAGCTGTTCACGCTGAGCCAGGCTCCCCTGAGGCATAGCTCATGCCTCCTCTCTTCTTCCTCACAGCAGCCCTGGGGGGAGGGGGTGCCCTTAACACCCTACGTATAAAGATGGGGAGTGAGGGCATGGAAGCCTTTGGTGACTTGCCCAAGATTACTCAACTTATCAGTAACAGAGCTTGCTTAATCAGCTTCCCTGCCTGTTTTTATAAATTAGGTTCTGTTGGAACATAGCCAGCCCAGTCTCAATCCCCTGGGCTAATGAAAAAATCAGAAGAGGCTGGCCACAAAGCTTAGCCCCAAACCCTACAGTCCCCACTCTGGGAGCTTCATCGAGGTCTAGAATACAGATTGGGAAGGGGCTGTATGGGGCACCATGTAAGACCATGCTCTGCCCTGAGCAGTCACTCCCATTTCTTTGGGGCATCTGAAGCTCCGACTTACAATCAGATTCACTGTAAAGGAAAATATCTTATAATCATCAGAATGGCTGAAAGATGCAAGGGATGGCCTCCTGAGGTAGTGAGCCTACCATGACTTGAAGTAATGGAAGCAGGGGCTTTATTCAAACACTTCTCGAAAATCTCATTGCAAGCTCCTCCCTATTCCTGGACACATACACATACACACATACTCTACTCGCATCCTGCTTTTCTTACTACTGGGGGATGCCGTCCTGCCAGGAAATCTCATCTCAGATCAATACTTTATGGCTAATAAAATGCATCATTTATTACAGTTCTGTGTGCCAGGCATTTGTAGGTACGTTAACGCTCCCGGTAGAGCCGCAAGGTAGAGGGATTATCATCACCCACTTTATTGATAACAGAACTGAGGTTAAGCCACTTGCTCCATGTCAAAAGCCAGTAAGTGACTGAGCCAGGATCAGACCCAAGTTGGAATAGCCCCAAGGCTACAAGCTCTTCCCTCTTTCCCCTACTACCCCTTGACTCTCAGTTAGACTGAAGATGATTGTGTTGGTGGCAATAATGATAAGGGCAGTTTTATGGAGTATTATAGATGTGTCAGGCACTACGCTAAGTATCTTACTGTATTGTGTCACACATTCTTCACAATAATCCTATAAAGGAGACGCTATCACTCCCCATTTTACAGATGAGAAAACCGAACCTGGATTAAGTAAATTGTCTGAGATTAAATAACTACTAATGGCAGAGCCAAGGTGAACGGCCAAGCCTGTTTCCCTGCCTGACCGCTGAGGGCCAGCGTTTTCAAACCCTGCCCCTGGACTCTGTGCAGTGCACCAGTGCTGTTTGAAATTCAACCCTCTTCCACCACACCTGTGCCACAAAAATCACGGAGCACCTGCCTTGTGCCAGTTGCCAGACGAGGAGCTGGGCAGGGGAGGGAGATGGGGTGCAAGGGCAGCAATTGAAAACTGACCAGTGAGGAAGGAGGGGCTGAGGGAGGTCCCTTTTCCCAGCCAGCCAGGGGGACTGGGTTTGGAAGCCACATCTCTTTGTCCCCATGAACTGTCTCCACCATGTTCATCTGTCTTCAGGAGCAATGACCTCTAGCTTTTCTCTCCTGCAGCTCCTCGGTCACACTACCTGGCTGACAGTGGTAAGTTCTGCCTGCCTGCCCTACCTTCAGCCCATCATGTCCCATGAGGAACAGAACTGTGTCAGCTGCAGTTCCCCACAGCTCTAATGACCATACAATGTCAATGTCCCAGCACGCTCCTGACCTCTAATAGTCCACCCCATTGTATTTGTCAGATTGTGGGTCTCCATGCGGGGTTCTAGAACTAGGATTGACATCCCAACAGGTGGTCCCGGAAAGAAAGAAAGTGCACACACCTCTTCCACCCACCTGGGAGCCTTCTGACCTGGATTCTGGGCTTGACTTCAATGCCAGAGCCTTTGTTTAAAGCCAGCCTGTGGCCAGGACACAGGGGTCTATCACAGGAAGATAGAGGTGTGCAGGTCGAGGATAGAAGAGTGTGTGAGTGGGTGCCTTGGACGGATACCTAGAATTCTGCCAAAGTGCCCCCTGAGACAGTCAAGTTGCAAATCTGGAGAGCATCAGGAGGAGTTGGTGGCCTCTGGCCTCCACCCCTTCCTACAAGGTTGGGAGCAATATTGGCCATTGATGGCCAGATGACCTTGGGGAGAGGGACCTATGGCTTCAGGCTCCTGGTAATTGCTCTGGCTCCTTCTTTTCAGATCCTCTCATCTCCAAATCTGCCTCCCTGCCTGCCTACAGAAGAAATGGGCTGCATAGGGTAAGAAGCTGTGCTGCAGGGTGGGGGGGTGGGGACACTGTCTCCAAAATGCTAATAAATCCAACATCAGTCCTGGGCAAAGGTCCTGGGGCTAGTAATGGATTAACCGAAATAACTGCATGGCAGTGACTTGCTTCCCTCCCTGGAGACCCCTTAGTGAGAAGAGGCTTGGGAACAATCAGTACTTACTGGGTGATAACTCTGTGCCAGGGACTGAGCTAAACACTACAAGCACTAGTTCATTTTGCCTTCACAACCCAAAGAGATAGTTACTATCACTTACCCTACTTTATCATGCAGAAATAGAAGCACAGAGAGGTGAGGTGACTTACCCTCACTCTTCCACAAGAAGTGGTAGAGCCAGGATTCAAGCCCAGGCCAGCTGGCCCCTCAGCCCACCCCCAACTGCTATGCCCCACTGGCCTCTAACGTGGCCTGTAAGTTTTCTGAGCCCCCTGAGCGTGGTGCTATGGAAAAAGAAAGATGATGAGCAGGATGAGGAGGACTGAGAATCATGGAAGGAGCAACTTGCAATTTCCAACAGGGTTGTCAGGGCAAATCTAGAAAAAGGGATATTTGAACAAGGAAAGAAAGCTTGAAGTGAAATTCACCAAATAAATGGATATATATTGAGTATCCACTGTATGCCAGGACAAAGCACAGGGACATAGCAGCGAGTTATGTTTTCCTAACTTGAGATGGAGGTTGCTGAGAGGGCCTTAGGTCCCACAAGCGCCAGTCTACTTTCTGGAGATAGGTGAGTGCTTCAGGAAGGCAGAGGTGAGCGTAACTCAGGCCAGCCCTGGCTCTGTCTCTTCTGTAGACGCCCAGCGCAGACCTCTTCCACTACGACAGCATGAACGCGGTCAACTGGGGCATGCGAGGTGAGTGCAGGCCTGCAGGGGGTCTGCAAGGGGTCTGCAGGGGAGAGGGCTTCAGACATACCACTCAAAACTGCTGCTTGATCCTCGGCAAATGATGGTTACAGATTCTGTCCCCACGCTGGGCTGTGTCCGACCCCGAGTTCTTACTCCCTTTCACTTCCTACCCCCTCCCTTTTCCCCTGCTTTTCCCTCATCCTCTCAAGTCCTGGCCTTGGGTGATCTCCAGGCCACCTGTCCCATCTGGGTTCCCAGAGTCATCACACAGTGCTGCTCTCCTCTCCCTGGACTGTGGAGCAAGGGTTGCCTGCCAACCCTGCTGAAGGGAAGCACTCAGAGCCAAATGCACACTGTTCCCAGTAAGAATTCCATGAGCTTCCTGCTCTCTGCCAGTGATGCTTTCATACCGACCTCGACCAGCTCCTACAAACAAGCTCTGGCAGAAGGGGCCCACATCAGAACCTCGGAGGATTCCCCACCGAAGACAGAGGATCTTGCCCATGTGTTTCAGATTGCAGATTCTTCTAATCTCTATTCTAAATATCTCAAAGGCTGTATTTCCCTTAGAACCATCTCAAGATCAGCCCAACCCCTATCTTCAGCCTTCCACTGTACGCAGACCAGCCTTGATTATCCTTCAGGGTGAATTCGGCAAGGACAGGGTCTCTGGTGGTCAAGAGGAGGAGACAATAGAGGCCAGAACCCCTGAGAGAGTAGGACAGAGGCCCATGTAGTGATGCAAAGCAAAGACTGATGGGTTCCATTCTCTATATGTCTCTTTTTCTCTCTGCAGAGTACAAGGTAAAGGATATGCATAGACCCTGGGGGTCTCCAGGATTCTTGGAGCCGCTACACTGGGGATCAGCAGGAAGATGGCGGCACTGTCTATGCAGGGAAGGGAACATAGATAAATAACCTCAAGGGTCCTTTCAAGACCAACATTTCCTGTCCCTCCTTGGCCCACTTTCCCTGAATCCTGCCCTAGGTCTCTTGCCTACTGAAATCACATACCCTCCCTGGGCTTCAGAGACACTCTGGTGGCTTCCCAGTCACCAAATATTAGACACTTACATTGGGGAGGTCATGTGCCTATATTATTGCATGGGCACATAATTGCATGGGCAATATATTGCATGGCAAATACCTCCAAACTTATTCCTAGCAGTATTAGGGGACTCTGTGGATCCTTACCTTTTGAGAGAAGGTATCTTAAGGCTTCTGGGCAACCCCAAGGAGGACGGGATCCAGCCCTTCCTCTAGACTTCATTTCTGGCCCTTTCTGGATAGAACAAAGAGACCAGACACAAAACATACCTGAAAGGAACAAGCCCACCACCCTCACCCAAGCTGGAGACCACCCTCCTTTCTCCTTAGATCTACCCTTATGAACTGCTGCTGGTGACTACAAGAGGAAGAAACCGACTGCCCAAGGATGTAGACCGGACCCGTTTAGAGGTAAGTCTAGAAAACTGAGCAGGAGCTCTTGGCTTGGAAGAAATTTCAGAGGTTTCTTGGTCTAACCTAGCTCAAGAAGGCTGGGTGAAATGAGTGGCTTTAAGATCACACAGCTCTTTGAAAAAGCAGGAACTTGAGCCAATTTCCTCAGCCCAAAACTTCCCCATGCTGTTCCCCAAAATTGCGCCATGCTGTCCCCCCCAAAACCACCCCATGCTGTTCTTTGCTGCCTCCTCTTCAATTCAGTTAGCGTCTGTGGTGCACAGAGACAGTAACTCCTCACCTAGGGCTGATGCTTCTGCAGCATTGCAGGAGAGCTAGATTTGCTCCCTGCCCACAAGGGGCCCTCAGTCTCAGGATTGTGCAGAAAACTAGTGGTTGTGATGGCAGACAGGGCAAGGCAGCATTATGTAGAAGGAACAAAAGCATAAATGAGTCTCAAGTCAAACTCCCAAGGTTCAAACTCTGATTCTGCCATCACTAGGTAGGCAGCTTTAGCCAAGTGACAACCTCACTGAACCTTGGTTTTCTTTTCTGTAAAGTGAGGGTGATTGATTGGTGTGCTTTTCTCATGCTGCCAACAGAGGTGAGTGAGCCAATACCCATAAATCCCTTAGCATAGAATCTGGCAACGTACTGAGCATAAAGTGCCCAATGAACATTAGATTACTGTTGTCTAGGGAAGACCACTAAGGCCTGAGGTGGTCAACACAGGTTTGCGGGAAAAGGAAGGGTGTAGATAGACTTGAAAGACAAGTTGAGTTTGGGATTGATGGAGACAGAGGGGAGAACGGCATAAACAAAGGTGCAGAGGTGGGCCTGAGCATGGTGCCAGGCACTCGAGCACTCCAGACCACCTGCTGTGGAGTTCCAGTCTCTGGCCTCCTCTGGTGCTGGAGCACACTCTGATCCTTACAGCCTAGTGCCTCTCTCTGCCTCTCCCTCTCCCTAGAATGTCCGTATTAGTCTGTTCTCGTGCAGCTAATAGATACCTGAAGCTGGGTAATTTATAAAGAAAAAAAAAAAGGTTTTATGGTCTCATAGTTCCACATGGCTGGGGAGACCTCATAATCATGGTGGAAGGTGAAGGAGGAGTAAAGTCACATCTTACATGGCAGCAGGCAAGAAAACATGTGCAGGGGAACTGCCCTTTATAAAACCATCAGCTCTCATGAGACTTATCACTACCAGGAGAACAATATATGCCCCCAAGACTCAATTATCTCCATCTGGCCCCATCCCTGACAGGTGGGATTATTACAATTCAAGATGAGATTTGGGTGGGGACACAGCCAAACCATATCAATGTCCTTCCCATCTCACCAGCCTCCTTGCTCCTCGGTGCCCCACACAAGCAATCCCTGTGCCCCAAAACCTCCTCCAACCCTCCTCCAGGAGGGGTCACTCCCCTTGTCCTCTGGCCTCCTCCAGCCTTCTATACAAAGTACATCAAGCACCTCTCACTCCCCTGTGTATCAGATCATGGATGTATCCATTTCTTCTGCCTGACCCTGAGTTTCTTAGGGGCAAACATTGTCTGTCCTTCCACAGGGTCTGGGCTGGGAGAAGTGTCAGGAAACGTTTGTGGGATTAAGTGCAGGCTTCTGAAAGAGGAGGCTCAGCACTCCTCGGGAAGAGCATATGAGCTGCCCTTGACTTGATGGCATGGAATTGGCCCAGGGTAGAGGGTTGGGGCAGAAAGAAGGGAATGCGCGTGAGCCAGGAAGCTTTGCGAGTTCTTCTAGTGCTAGCACGCTGGGTTAGCACCCCGAGAAGCAGGTGATTCTCCTCACATTTTAACAAAGGCTTCCTCCTTTCACTGTCTCCAAATGAGAGTGACCATCAGTGCTGAAGGGGACAGCTCCCAGGGCAGCTCAGTGAAGCCAGTTTTCAGTAATGGAAACATTTTTCAGAATCACCCAACATCAGAATCACCCACATAGCTTTGTAAAAATAACATACAGAGGCCCCACCCCAGATCAATTCAATCACGATTTGGGGAAAGAGAAAGAGCTCAGGTATCAGAACTTTTCAAAAGTGCCCAGTGATGTCTAAAATATCGCCTGGGCTGAGGTACACGGGCTAAAGACACTGCCCCAGCCTCCTGCACTAGTTCCAGGAGGGGACTGAAGAAGGAAAACTGTGGCCCTGTCCTCAAGGAGCTCAGAGAATAGATATTCATTCATCCAACAAATATTTGTTGAATCATCCTCACCTTACAGAGGAGAAAATAGAGGGTCATCAAGGCTGTCATGTGGCTACATCTGATCACTTAGTGATGACAGAATCAGTTTGAACCAAGGGAGCTTACCTTGAGCCTTGCTTATCGATGTAGTGCTGCCTCCCCTCTCTTCCCCCATTACAAGCATTAGTTTTATGGATAATCCTGAGACTGTGGACCCCTGAGAGCAGGAAGCAAATCTAGCTCTCCTCCTATGCCCCCGGAAGCATTCAGGTACTGTTTGCAATGCCTGCAATATAGCAATGAACAAAACAGGAGACCCCTGCCCTCTTGGAACTTACATTCTTGTGTGAGGAGACACAAGATGTGTCTCTTTTATTTGTGTCAATATCGTTGACACAAAGAAAAGAAGAAATGGCACCGTGTGTTAGAAGGTAATAAGTGCTAAGGAAAAAAGTAAAAGGAGAGAAGAGAAGGGGGTTTGCAGTTTTAAATAGCATCATCAGAGTTGGTCTCATTGGATGCATGACATTTAAGCGAAGACTCGGAGTAGTTGAGGGAGTCGGGCATGCTTTTATAAGAAGGAAGAATTTTCCGGGCAGAGGGAACAGCCAGTGTTGAGACCCTGACGCAGGAGTGAGCTTGTTGTGTTTGGCCATAGCAGAAGGTGAGTGTGTCTAGGGTCAAATGCACACAAAAAAGATGAGGAGGAGAAAATGAAGTTAAAGGAAACTGGGAACAGATCACATGGTGTAAGAGGTGCATGAAAAGATCACTGTGATCATGAGAGTGACCAGACAGTGCTTTTCCGTGTGCCCCTGAGTGCTGAGCACAGGACCTGTATCTGCTCATTCACCCTCATGGTATTCATGATGCAGAGACTAGGATGCTCCCATTTCCCAGAAAAAGAACCTGAAGTTCAGGAGGAGTCAGGTAACTTGTCCATGGTCACATGGCCACATCTCCCTGGCTCTAAGAGATGCACTCTTAACCCTCCCGCTTTAACACCTTTCTGTGGCAAAAGTCAGATGGACAATAGTAGCATTAGGGGCCTTGAGAACTGGAGGGAGAAAGGAGGCCCCAGCTCGCCCCTAGAGGAGATAAGCCCTTCCAATGTGTCCTATTGTGAACACATTACTTGAGGTTGAGTCTACTATTCCTTTATATCAAGCCACATAACAAAGATTTTTGAACACGGTAGAGAAACTCCACTAGAAAATCAATACTATCACCCTCCAACAACAATAATAAATTATTCCAAAGTGCAGTTTCCCTCAGTCTTTACCATGGAAGGAGCAGAGATGGGATCTCTCCTATCTCAAATGTCTTTCATCACTCACTTGAGTGGCACAAACATGGACAAGTCAATGGTACAGAGAAAGAGGCGGGGTCTTAGGGATCTAACAAGAAAATGTGATGTGTGGGCATTGCCTGGGTTCTAGTTCAGACACACCAACTGTGAAAAGACATTTGCAAGACAGGAACTTTGTAATGGACAGGTATCGGGGAATTCCGAGGAATTCTTGTTAAATTTTCTTGGGTTAGTTCATGGCATTGTGTAACCACAAAACATCCAGTGTGTTTTGAGACACATTCGGAAGTGCATAGGAATAAACTGACCCAATGTCTGGGCTTTGCTTTAAAATATTTCAGCAAATAAAATAGATAAATGAAGCAAATACGGAAAACCTCACGATAACTGGATCCGGATAATGGACATGGGCTTTGTCCTATTTTCTCTCTTTTGTGTAGTTTTGACATTTTTCATAATAGAAAGACTTACGAATTTTTTTAACAGGGCTAAGAGTGGCAGTGAGAATGTGATGCATTCTGCCTAGACATTGGTCCCAGCTCTACTACTTCAAAAATTATTGACCAAAAATTATCAATATTACCTTTGCTTGAAATTCTGAAGGTATGGTGAAAATGTTAGTTCACATGGCCAGGCGCAGTGGCTCATGCCTGTAATCCCAGCACTTTGAGAGGCTGACAAGGGCAGATTGCCTGAGCTCAGGAGTTCAAGACCAGCCTGGGCAACATGGTGAAACCCCGTCTTTACTAAAATACAAAACATTAGCCCAGCATGGTGGTGCGGGCCTGTAGTCCCAGCTACTTGGGAGGCTGAGGCAGGAGAATCGGGTGAACCCAGGAAGCGGAGGTTGCAGTGAGCTGAGATTGTGCCACTACACTCCGGCCTAGGTGACAAAGCAAAACGCTGTCTCAAAAAAAAAAAAAAAAAAAGTTCACAGTGACAACAAGCCAGAGAACTGGCTAATTATTGTGTGGTCACATACATAATTTTCACGGAATCTCCTTCAGTACCCAATTAGCTCATGTAATTGCTACCAAGAAGCCAGCTCAAGTGAATCCATTAAGTTTGCCGGCAGTATATATGCATATATTTCTGCATGTATTTCTCTTTTTAAACTTAATTTTACATTTCATTTTGAAAAATATTATGCCCTCCAGGAAAGTTGCAAGAATAGTAAAATGAACATCCATCTACCCTTCACTGAATACACCAATTGTTAGCATTTTGCCACATCTTAACTGCTGTATATTTCTAACTAAAAGCTCTTGACAATGTATCACACATTTAAAGCTGCTTACAAGGGAGGAAGGAAAGGAGGCCAGAAAGAGGGGAAAATCTGCTCTAGAATGCAGACGAGGGCTTGATTATAAAGCATATTTGTTTTCATATCACAAAAAGATAAAAGGATATTTTGTTGCTTCAAAAATTATGAGCAGTCATTTTTTTCATTGACTGGCCTGATGAACAGCTTTCCAGATCATTTGTTAAAATATAAGTAAGAGGAAATATCCCCTAAAATCTTGGACATGCCTCCTTTTTCTTTCAAAGGGGAGTGGGATAGCATGAAGCCACACACACTTCCAGATACAAATGCATGAAGCAGGCATGCATAAAGGGGAGGGGTCAAGAAGGGGCACCAAGGGGTGTGTAGTGGAAGCAGAAGTCCCACTTGAGTCATGCGCAGGGGAGGCCTCTTCGGACAGATCAGCTCCAGAGTCCTCCCTGGGGAAGCATTCATTCCCATATTCACCCATTCACAAGTATTCATCACACATGCCCCTGCTTCAGACGCCGTGCAAGGCACAAATGGGAAGGAACATTCAGCGTCCACTGCTACCTCCGCCTGCCCCCACATCTTCCACCCTCATGCTGCTCTCTCTCTCTCTCTCTGTCCCCCATTCTCGCCCGCCCCACCTCCTTCAGCGCCATCTGTCCCAGGAAGAGTTCTACCAAGTCTTTGGCATGACCATCTCCGAGTTTGACCGGCTGGCCCTCTGGAAGAGGAATGAACTGAAGAAGCAAGCCCGGCTGTTCTAGGCAGAGGCTCTATAAATATATATGCATTTATATAAAGATATATGTAAAATCTCTCTACTGAAGCTCGGTATAATCCTCTCTTGTGTAATGGGACACACTGCCTGCCATGAGACTTGCTTTTCTGTGCTGTCAGGCAAGCCCACATCATCGAGATATTTTTATGCTCTCTACTTTCTCTTTTCTAAGTGCTGCGGGCTCTGGGAAGGGATTTGAGGGGACTCTGTCCTTTTATTGGGGATCCTTTTTATACTGAAACATCTGTCCTAACTTGAGTGCCCTAAGGTCCAACTCTCTTTCCTAAAGAAGGTGCCTGAAGAAGTCTCTCTTCTCTTTGCTTTGTGGCCCCTTTCCTAAACTTCTAGGGCTCATGCTGACCACGTGGTTTCCACACCTTATTGGCCCCAGAGGGGCCCTCCCATGGGAAGATCTGCAGCAATCTCCCCAAATCAATGAGCGCCTTTAAGCGCCCATGAGGAACTTTCTCAACGCCCCCAATTAGGAGCTCAGTGCTCTCTGGGGGCAATGCAGTTAAAAGTGTGAGCCTCAAATCTGGTCATTATACCAGTCAACAGAAGTGGACAGGGCCTAGGCCTCTTCTCAGCTCCTCAACCCTCCTTCTTCTGCCCTGGATTGTAGCCTCTCCCTGGTCCAAATCTAGGATTCATGGTAGGAAAAGAAAAAGGCCCTTCCCTTCCCTCTACCACTTCCAGCTGGCCCCTTTGCCTGACCTGGACTTGGAGAACCAGAGGAAAGGAGAGGGAGCGGAAGTGGGAGATAGTGCAGGGCACCTATTAGAATCGGAGCTGCAGGCTTTCTTGGGATCCTCCTCTCTCCCTCACTGCTCCCAGCACCTCCTGACCCTTCCCTCTTAGAAGGAGAGGCCCATGATGGCAGCCTGTATTCTTGAGCCTTATTACAATCTACGTGCCTGACAACTCAACACCGCAGGGCTAACGTTCCCACCAGAGCTCCAACTGAACAACCAAGACAGATAACTCTCACTACCCTCCAGAGAGAAAATAGGCTATGTCCCAAAGAAAGGTTCTTGGTCTATGCCTCTGGTCTGTGGGCTGGCAGGACAACCATACCATACCTCCACCAGTCCTCGGCTTGTGCTGAAAAGTTAGCCATAATTCCCCGGGAAACTTTTGGAAGAGTGGCTGCTTATGAGATTTCAAACTGAAGTGTTGGCCAACAGCACTCACGGCCATCTTGGATTTCCCCGGTGGCTTCCTTTCCTGCCTGCTCACCTCCCTGAACAGGAGAGAAGGCTTAACCTCTCTTCTCCTCTCCAAACCTTTCACCTTGAGTGGGCGATGTTAGGTGGGAGCTGTTCCTTCTTGGAGATGCCTGGAGTTGGACCATCTTGAGGTCATGGAGGAAGGATGAAGAACTGAAAATGACAATAATGACTCTCAAGAGGCTGGTGATGTGACATGGCAAATGTAGAACTGACTTAAACTGAACAAACCCTCACTGAGCACCTCTGATGTTGAGCACCTGCTGAATACTGAGCACTGAATGGGGGAGGGGGAGGGGAGCACCAGGGTGAGTCTACCTGGGACTGGGTCTCAGGGGCATGCCTACTAACAGTGGGTATCATAAGGCTGTACCCAAACATAACGGATGTAAGGCAGAAAGTGATCGGAGAAGGAATGAGAAGGTGTACGTGATGTTACTGAAGAGTCATATGCAGTTAGAGCAGACCAAGGAAAGCCTTCTGGAAGAGACAGCATCTGAGGAAAATTCAGCAGAAGGATCTTTGTAGATTGGGAGGAGATTCTAAGTGGAAGGGATGATAGGGTAAGGGCCAGAGGGAAGTTGGCTGTGCCCTCATTTAGGACGTCAGCCCTCCCTGCAACTTCTGTTTTTGGCCAATGTCTTCACTCTCCTGACCCTTTAGAAACGTCCCCAGCAAGATGCAAACACTGAAGCTGCCTCACTGTCAGTGGTTAAGAACTTGGCGAGATTGGAGGGATTTTGTTATTGTTGTTGGATATTTTTGTTTCCCATAAAAGCACATCATTTCAACCCCAAACCTGTGTCCTTCTGTTGTTCCTTGTGTGGGTGTGGAAATGACACATGGGAAAAGGCTGAACCCTGCACATTTTTCAAAATAAGAGCATGAAACAGCAGCCACTCCTTTGGCCTCAGTTTCTCCTGAAAAAAAAAAAAAGTTGGGTAAAAGTAAATATCACTCAGATTGTTTTCTGTAGAATGCAGGATCTCTCAAGATGGTAGAGGATGTTCCAACAACAAAGATGTTCCGTGATCAAAATTAATAATAATAATAGTTCCTTATTGCTAAGCACCAGCAATGTTCCAAGTTCAATGTGAGCACTTCACACCCATTATCTCATTGAAGCTTCTGTAACAACCCAAGAAGTGCCATTATTAATGTCTCCATCTCCTAACTGAGTAAATAGCTTTGAAGAAAACCATAATTGCCACTGGTAGAGCCCAGAGTTATTTCCAGCCTGACTCAGAGAGACCGTCTTAACACTCTTATTAAGCAAGATCCCTCCAGCTGCAGGTAAAGAGAGCATCTTGTTACAAATGGCTTCAATGGTGAGATCACATGTTGTCTTGCACAACCAGAAGTCCAAGGTGCAGAGTTAGTACATTCAGCAGCTCAGGAATGGGGTCCAGAGCCCAGGTGGTTCGCATCTCTGTAGCTCACCATCCTTAGCATGTTAGCTCTTGTCCTCAGCCAGCACGTCTCCTATGTTTACAAGAGGCTGCTGTGCTCCAGACATCATGTCCCCACACAATCACATCAAAAAACAAGAAAGTCTACTGCATGTCTATTGTAGTCAGAAAAACTTTTTCCAAAGTCCTCAGTAGACTTCTGCTCGGATCCCACCTGGCCAAATCTAGGGATATGTCCATGCTCCTGCTGTAATGAAGGCTGGGAAATTGGGCGTTTGGCATTTTCAGCCTCAACAGGGGGAGGCAGGTCCTCTAGCAACAAAGAAGAGAGCTGGGCAGAAAACGAGTGGCCTCTGGATGAGGGAATCACAGCGCCTCTGCCGCAGCCACTGTGCCGTGAAAGAGCAAACTCCGTCCCTTCTCCCGTAGACTCATGATGCACATTGCCAAAAGTCCTGAGAAGTCCTACCACAGTACCTTTGTTTAGTCCAATATTTTATAAATGAATTTGACGTGACTTCTGTTTAAGACATGCTAGACTTACTGTATTTTATCTGTTTCACAGATGCACACTTTGTTCACATTTCGACATCTCTGAAGATGAGATGTGGCTTAGAATTAAAAGTAGCTCCTTTTCGGAGCTCTTGTTCTGTGATTCTTCAATAAAAACCAATGCTAACTTTCAGCCCCAACACAGCTCCCCCCAGACAGGTGGCGCAAATGTGCAAAAAGATACTCAAGAATGCATCTCTGCCCATGCCTACACATGCAGCCAACAAATATTCATGAGCAAGCGCCTCCTACCGGGCAGGAGCACGGAGGATACAACAGTGTGGAAGGCAGGTATGGGCTTTCCTCATGGACTCTGGTCTAGAGAAGAAACAAATTATAAATAAGGCAACAGAAAAAGAGATGACACTTGAAGATAACTGCTACAGAGGCAACAAATAGGTAGCATGAGAAAGGAACTCACTTTGTATGCTAATCGAAGGATGAAAGCCAAGTACCTGGGGAAAAGTGGGGTTGGCAGCATTCTTGGCACAGAGAACGGTGGATGCAAAGGCCCTGGGGTGAGCAAGAGCTTGGCTTCTTGGAGGAACAAAAAATACCAATGAGGATGCAGTGAAGCGAATGCAGGGGAGAGTGAGATTAGAAGAGGTGGGAGGGAAGGCAGGGGCCAGCCACGCACAGAGTCTAGAAGGACACTGCTCATGCATCCAGGCTTTGAGGAGGGTGCTTGGCTTGCACTGTGGTTGTCAACATGCTGGGTGGAGAAAGAATTGTTCCAGGCCTTGACACTCAAAGTGTAGTTCCTAACCAGGAACATCAGCATCACCCAGGAGCTTGTGCGAAATGCAGAACCTCAGGCCCCACCTGACCTGCCCCATCAGCACCTGTGTTTTCATAAGATCCCCAGGTGAGTCACACACATGGTGAAGTAAGAAGCCCTGCTCTCACCCACCTTCCTTTCATGGACAGACAGAACATTTTGAGTCAGACTGAAATTCTAGAAGTGGGCCTTTCCTCACATATGCAACCCCTTTGGACACTGGAGATCAACCTTGAATCAGTAAAGCAGATTATGATTTGGGAGGCCACAGAAACCACAGAAGGTCAGAGCTTAAAGCCAATAATACCATAGTTGTAATTTGCAGCCATGATACAGTTCACGGACATGGGTGCCAGCCGTGGAAGGTATCAGCAGTTGTAGCTGGCCACAGAGCCAAATGTGGAGTAAAAGGCCATTCAGCACTGTTAGCAAAATTTAAGGAGGCAAAAGCACTACTAAAATTAACAGTAATTAACCTCACAGAATTATGCCAGTTCCATGTGGAATTCAGTTTTAAAGGTATTGTTCCATATCAGACTTTGAGTTGCTAAAAACCTTGACTGCACAGTGATAAACACCTGCCTACATACTCAGCTGTAGGCGGCGCCAAGCCACTCAGAAGCCCTGTAACAAGACTCCAAGTGAATACAGTGCAGGGGCTGCGCAGAAGAGGGTCAGCCTCTCCCCACCACCCCCAAGCCTTTCGCCTCTGTACTTGCCTTCGTCCAATATGATTGGTCCAGAGACACAGACAAGAGAAGCCAAAGGCAAGAAGTCACCATCTATGGTCAGCCTCAGGGAAAATTAGACCTAAATGTGCAGATACACAAGGCTTAAAATTGCATGACATCTATGTCCATAGTCAGAAGCATTTCCTTCTCAGGGGAACCATCCGGAGCTTCCCAGATTTGAGTCATTCAAGCATCACTGTCATTATTTTGTCAAATTACTTATTTTCTTAATACTATTTACTCAATATTTTTCTTTCAAATGACATGTAGCTGATGTTTTTGTTTTAATGCCAGTGAAAAGTGCAGGTTTGTAGGACTGTTTCTATGGGTCTTTTTGTTTGGGTTAGCTTGTTTGGTTTTTTGTTTTTTTTTTTTTTTAAGAGACAGGATCTTGCTGTGTTGCCCAGGCTGGAGCGCAGTGGTGTGATCATAGTTCACTGAAACTGCAAACTCCTGGACTCAAGTGATTTTCCCACCTCCGCCTCCTGAGTAGATGGGACTATGGGCATGTGCCACCATGTTCAGCTAATTTTTATTTTTAATTTTTTGTAGAGATGGGGGAGTGTCTCACTATGTTGCCCAAACTGGTCTCAAACTCCTCACCTCAAATAACCTTCCACCTCATCCTCCCACAGTGCTGGGGTTACAGGCATGAACCACCACACCTGGCTACATGTTTTTAATACAAATTCACATAAATTCATAACTCTCCAAATATGTTGGTTTGTGTAACATCTAAACACATCTCACATTTTCACCAATTGTCTGAATTCCACACTTCGGGAAACACAGTTCTACCGGATGGAAAAGGGAGGAGAGAAGGCGATTCACATTTTCTCAAAGTCCTCATGATACCTGATCTTTGGGGAGCCCAAGAGACACAATCTGAAAATGCTGCAGACAGATAGGAAAACCCAAGACTCCTTGACAACAAACAGGGCTTGCTGAACCACAGCTTGACTGACAGCCAAGACTCTCGCATACCAGTGGTATCCTCCTGGGGCATCATATAGACAGGGTGTCCCTGGACCTCGCTGAGGTTTTCAGTAGCTACAGCCTCTCGTTTTCCCCACTGCTGAGCGTTGTAAAGCCTTTGCCTCCGGGTATGCTGCCATGAGCTCCAGAAGGGACAGTACAGCGTCATGGGTAAGCATCATGGGTAAGGGTTAGACACAGCCTCCTTCGGGACAGTCTCAGCCCTGCCATTTCCTAGTTGAACTGTGTTCTCACACTCCCATTTCATATCTTGATTCCCTAAACCCCCAGTACCTCTGAATGTAACTCTACTTAGACATAGGGTTTTTAAAGAGGTGATTAGATTAAAATGAGGCTGTCAGGGTAGGGCCTGATCCAATCTGGCTGGTGTCTTCATAAGAAGATTTGGACATATGGGGACGGCCAGGGAGCCATGCATGGAGGGACAGCCACGTGAGAAGACAGCAAAGGGGCAGCCATCTACCAGCCGAGGAGGCAGGCCGCAGAGGAAACCAGCTCTGCTGGCAGAAATTCTGTTGTCGCAGCCAGCCCTAGTAAAAGAATGAAGCGAGACGTGCAAAATAGAAGTCGTGACATTTATTTGATAGAATGGGAAGGAACGATGGTGTGCTGCAGGTGCGCGCCTGGCTGCAGGGGAAGCAGGCATTTGACTGCTCACCTTGGGCTTAGATCCTGTGGTTTACCTAGACTATGAGTGCCCCCTGTGGGCCACTGCTGGAACTACAAGGAGATAGGCTGCCTTTCCTACCTGGAATCTCCAGGTGTAGGGAATTCAGGGCTGCAGCTGTGTGGCCTTCTCTGCCACAGATTGGGACAGATCACCTGAAGATGAAGACTAAACAGAGGAGGGCAGAGCCAGGAGCTGGAGAGAAAAGAGCGACTTCTCGGCTTGCCTTCCTAGATCCAAGCTTGCCTTCAAGCCAGCTTCACGCCTTCAACTACCCAGCTACCCTTTCAGCTTTTCGGTTAAAGCTGGTTGGAGCTGTGATTCTCTCACTTGCCATCAAAGCAGTCATGACAGATACACTGGCTCCCGGAGTGGATGGATATTGGCAGTGAAATCCTGAATGCGTTCCCTTGCTGTCTGTGTGGGGGAGAGTGCCCGCAACGTAAACAGAGCAGGCATCTGCCCTGATTGGAGCATGCAGTGTGACATGAATCACTAGGGAACACATAGGAAGGGTAAAAGCGTGCTTCAATCTGTTACTGGAAAGTGTTCACAGGGCCCAGACCTAGAGCCTTCTGGTTTTCCAAAACCTCCTTATGGATACAGAATTCCTTGTCATACAAAAGAAATGAGACTGCCTCCCTAATGCACAGGGTCTTGC